CATTAAGGTAACACCATCTGCATGATGTTTTATTAAGAAGAATTTTATAATAACCAAGTGCTCACTGAATCTCAAACAAACATAAATCTGGAACAATTAATAACCCAAGAGATTTCTTGACTTACCTCCAAGAAGTGCTAAAAAGAAGCAAAAGTACATGAATATTCAAATTACTGTTGATGTGGAAGCAGGCAAGGAAAACAAAGAAGAAGGAGGTGTTTGGGGACAGGGGGAGGGGACAAGGGAGGGGACAGCGGAGGGGACAGGGGAGGAGACAGGAGGGGACGGGGGAGGGGACGGGGAGGGGTTTGCAGAGCAGGCGGCTCAGCACAACACGTGGCCACCGAGTTGGGGGCTGGGGCCTCAGCCTTGCCCCACAGCAGGCAGGCTCCAGGGAGGGGCCGAGGGAGTCCGGGAAACAAGGGGTCTGGGGACCAAAGCCAGCGGGGAGTCTCTAAAAGCACTTAGAGAAAGTCTTATGTCAGGGACCCTGGGCGGCTCAGTCACTTGAGTGTCTCACTCTTGATTTTGGCTCAAGTCATGATTCCAGGGTCATGAGATCAAGCCTTGCATCAGGTTCTGCACTGAGCGTGGAGCCTGCTTGAGTTACTCTCTCTCTCTCTCTCTCTCTCTCTCTCTCTTTCTCTGTTCCCCGCCCCCCCCCCCAAAAAAAAGCCTATGCCCACTCTGACAGTGAAGGCGGCCTGGTAAAAAACAAGGAAGGTACTGGTGTCTAGGCCTCCTGATTCCACCACCGTGGCTTCCACGTCACTCCCGACCACAGGAAGCCTCCAGAGCCTATGCACCCAGTGTCTCTGTGCGGCTGGGCATCTCTGGAGGCTGAGGGGACTGCGCTTCCCCTGCTTCTGTCAAGTCCTCAGACGTCTGTGCTGGCCCCACACAAGGTGGGCAGATCCCCTGGGTTCGTGGCTCAGAGACGTGGCTGCAGCCTCTGTGTCACCCCGCCCCCCATCTGTCACCCCAGGTGGTTTCTGCTGTCACAGCAACCCCTCTGCACTGACCCTGAGAGAAGGGCTGACTCTTCATTTTTTTCCTGCATCTTCCTTGAAAAACCTGGTACTTTTCTTGACCTGGTGATCATGGGTGGCCTGGGTCGTGGGGTGATCATGGGTGGTCCCTGATGGCTCCCTGATCACTTGTGGTCCCAGATGATGCGGTGATCCACTGTGGTCCCAGATGACACGGTGATCCACTGTGGTCCCAGATGACACGGTGATCCACTGTGGTCCCAGATGACGCGGTGATCCACTGTGGTCCTGATGACGCGGTGATCCACTGTGGTCCTGATGATGCGGTGATCCACTGTGGTCCCAGGTGACAGGGTGACTGTCTGTGGCCCCAGCTTTGCTGCCCTCTACACTGTAAACTCCACAGGGGCAGGCCCTCTGTTGAGCCCCACCCTCCTGGAGATGAGAGGAGGTGGGCAGCAGTAACTAAAGCTGAGATCTGAATTGGCTTATATTACTTCTAGGTAGTGAATGAATGAATGAGTGAATGAATGATGAACACAGTAGCCGTCTCTGCAGCGGGCTGTGCTTCCCTTCACCCTTTGAGAGCAGGTCATAGACTTAATGACAAAATCTCCACATTGGCACCATGGATTTCCGCTCTCTCGTTTACGAACAGAGCAGGAACTGCCCCCAGGACACGGGAAGGCTCAGGGCTGAAAATGGGGCGCTGCCCCTTAGAGCAGGCCTGCGCTTGTGACTGTCACACCTGTCCTTTGGTGGCTTTCAGAATTACTCCCTCTGACACCCCAGCGGTGCACACACATCACCGACCCCTCCCCACGCTTCCTTCCGCCCGGTCCCCAGGGTCAGCCTCGCCTGCAGATCAAGCAAACACACTTAGAAGCTAAACTCATTTCCAAGTGGCCTCTGGGTTAGAAAGTTCTTGCTTTTGCGAATCTTACATCTGCAGAACTACGTATTTCTTGATGTTGTGCCATAGCATTAACAGTAAAAAAAATCTTACATCAATCTCACTGGGAAAATCCATCCACACGCAGATTTAAGGAGTGTTTTAACCCGTTTGGATTTTGTTCTAACTTTCCCTCCGGCTTACACTCTTGCTTTAATAAGCGAAATATAGACCGTGTTTTTGATCCATTTGCATTTGACCTGTCTGTTCTCCATGCAGGGTCCCTCGGCGTCTGGTCTGATGCTTCAGGGCCCCCGTGGCATCTTCCTGCTGCTGTCCTCGCCGTTGGGCTAACAGCTCCGCTTCGTGAAGATAAAAGACCCGGGGGCCCCTGGAACTCTGAGGTTCTCCTTCAAATAGTGTCACTCAAGGTCCTATTGATTCCTTTCTAAATTTGGCAAATTACCTTTTATCTTAACTAGTTTGAAGACCCCCAACAAGTTCTTTTAATAAGCAGTGAATTCGGGGGGGGCGCCTGTGGGGCTCAGTTGGGTGAGCATCGGACTCTTGATTTCGGCTCAGGTCATGATCCCAGGGCTCCTAGTTTCTGAGACTGAGCCTCGGGTTGGGCTCTGCACTGACATCGCAGACCCTGCTTGGGATTCTCTCTCCCTCTCTCCCTGCCCCTCCCCTGCTCCCTCTTTCTTTCTCTAAATAAATAAGCTTAAAAAATAAACAGTGAATTTTTAAAATTAGGACTGTTTTACTTTCCCTTAGCTGTCCTTGTTAATGAATACAGCCCCGGTGAATGCACTGTCTCCTTGGAATGTAATTGCAATTAAAAATGGGAAGGGGAGAAACGTGTGTGAAGCGCGTGTTCTCTTATTTCTGACAAAGAATAGCTCCCTTGTTAGTTCTACACCATTAAATTATCAAGAATTATGGTCAGATTCCAAATGTCTGAACACTAGGCTTTTTATTATTGTAGACGTAGAAGCTGTCTCTCTCTGGGGCGCCTGGGTGGCTTAGTCGGTTAAGCGTACGACTTTCGCTTGGGTCATGATCCTGCGGTTCGTGGGTTCGAGTCCCATGTCGGGCTCTGTGCTGACTGCCAGCTCAGAGCCTGGAGCCTGTTTCAGTCTGTGACTCCCTCTTTCTCTGACCCTCCCCTGCTCACGCTGTCTCTCTCTCTCTCCTAGAAATTTAAAAAAAAAAAAAAAAACATTAAAAAAAAAAAAAAAAAAAAAAGAAGCTGTCTCTCTCTGTAGAGAAAATTATAATTACAACGCCTTACCATAAGTAACATGCATTTCCTAACTTAGGGCTTCGGGAAATGCAGATAGACCCCCTCTTCCGCATCAGACTCCTCGGCATCTGGTTATTACACCTTTTCTGCTGGGACAGGGATGGAGCTGCCTGGAGGGGCCGGTCCTGCTTGGGGGCCGGGCCGGTCCTGCTTGAGGCGGAGCTGATCCTGCTTGGGGGCGGGGCTGGTCTCGGGATCTCACACACGTGGCTGTACTCCTTGTTTCCTACACTGTCTCTGTCTGTCTCTGTATCTGTGTTTATCTGTCTTTCTCTCTCTGCTTTTAATCTCTCTCTCTGTCTTGTCTCTGTCTTTCTATGTCTCTCTAGTCTGTTTCTCTGTCTCTCTGTTCTCTATCTCTCTGTCTCTCTATCTCTGTCTTATCTGTCTGTGCCCCTGTCTGTCTCTGTCTCTCTCTCTGCTCTGTGTGTCTCTCTCTGTCTCTTTCTGTCTCTGTCTCTTTCTCTGTCTCTGTCTGTCTGTCTGTCTCTGCCCCACCGCACGCCCTGTTACCAGAGGAGGTCTGTCTTTGCGGAAGGACGGATGCAGGGCAAAGCTCCGAGAAGCTGGAAGTGACATTTCGGGGGGACGTCCTTCCTGAGGTGCAACAGGATGACGTGTCGGCCTCTCCCAGGGCTGGGTGGCCCCCAGGGGTGGGCACGTCTCTGCGCCTGGGAAGTTAAAACACATTTTGGGCAAAGTGAAAACACCAGGCCCTGAAACTCTGTAGAGACAGAATTCAGTCAGATGTTCTTACTGCCTCTTTGCCTGCTTTTATGTGAAAGAACACATTTTTGCACACACACCCCCCCCCCCAGAAAGCAGTGACATGTTTCCACTTGCCTCTTGCTCAGAGAAACACAGAGTGAGCCTCCTCTTAGGTTGGGCTCGGGCCAGTCGAGGAGCAAACCCTGCCGTGTCCCCAGGCCCCGTGAGGGACACCCCGCCCTGTCCCTCGGCTCCAGCCTTCCTCCAGAGGTGGGGGACAGGAGCTGGGCACCTCCCCGGCCCCTCTGACCCGCAGGGTCAGCGCCTGCACTTCGACCCCCGCGGGGCGCCAGGGCCTCCCCAACCCCTCATGAGGTCCGTCCGGCTTGGGGTCCCTCCCTCTGTGCCGCCTCTCCGTGTCCGCCTCGGTTACTCTTGAAGCGGTGCCCTGGGGACCCCCGCAGCTTCAAGGGGAGAATTCAGGTGTCTTTTAAGGAACGAAGTATCTCGGCTCCGCGGTGCCGGGCCGGGTGCCAGGAGCAGCCGCGCGTGGGGAGCCCGGCGGAGCGCGGCGCGGGGGGCTGCTGGGCCCTGCGGGGCTCCCCACGCGGTCCGTGCTCGCAGCCCCCGCGCCCTGGGTGGCGACCCCTGACTGCGGGTGTGCCTCGTGTCCCAGGAGCAGGCAGCCCCCCAGGAAAAGGGTCTCCGGGACAGGGGTGCGGGGAGGGGCCCCCGCCTCCTGGTTCCCCCCAGTGCGCCCCTGACTCTCGTGACTTCCAGGGTGACCGTGAGACGCGCGCGCAGGAGGGCCTAGCAGTGAGGTACGGATTCACGGCCCTGTCAGGTGGGGGGCGAGGCCGAGGTCGGGCACCCCCCGCCGCGGGGCCCACGGCGCCCGGCAGCGCTCAGCCCGGCTCAGGGCCCGGCCGCACCGCAGACCCGGCCCGGGCACCGCGGCCGCCGCCCCCTGCCCGCCGTGGCCCAGCGTCGCCGGCGGCCCCAGGCGCTTCCGACGCGCGGAGGCTTCAGGCCGAGACCCGTTTTCCGCGGCTCTGCAGAAACGCCCCTTTTCATTTGTGTGGCTTCTCTCTCTTCTCTCCCCAAGTTCTTGCGCGTGGACCAGGACAGGGACAAGGACTGCCAGCTGGCGTGCGCCGGCGCCGCGCAGAAGCCGCTGTGCGCCTCGGACGGCAGGACCTTCCTGTCCCGCTGCGACTTCCAGCGCGCCAAGTGCAAGGACCCGCAGCTGGAGATCGCGCACCGGGGCGGCTGCAGAGGTGAGCGCCGTGCTCGGGGGGGGGGGGGGGGGGGGGG